ATATATTTCACTTCATTCAGCCCAAATTTACATTTATTTAAATTAAATTTAACATTCTTTTCTCTGGCTCTGTCCAACAACTTCTTTAATCTTGAATCATGTTCTTTTTTATCTTTACCCCAAACTAATAAGTCATCTATATATATTTGAACTCCTTCTAAATCACTAAAAATTTTCAGAAAAACTTCTGTGGAAAACTTCTGGTGATGAACTCAGTCCATATGGCAACCTCAAAAAACAATATCTACCAAACGGAGTGTTAAATGTAGTAAATTCACAACTTGAATCTGACAGTTTAATTTGCCAAAATGCTTTGTTTGCATCTAAAATACTAAAGACCTTTGCATTTGTCATTTGAGATGAAATTTCTTCAAAGGTTGGTATGTGATAATGTTCTCTCAGTATATTTTGGTTAAGGTGCTGAGGATCTAAACACACTCTTAAATTTCCATCCTTTTTCCTTACTACCACTAATGAATTCACGAATTCTGTTGGTTGGTTAACTTTCTTTATAATACCATCTTTTTCCATTCTTGCTAATTCCTTTTTTAATGGATTTAATAAGCTAAGTGGAATTTTCCTACAGGGTTCTATTTTACCAACAGCTCCTGGTTTTAATTTAATATGATATGTATATCCAGTTAAATTCCCAGTTCCTTTAAACAAATCTTGATATCCTTTTAAAAGTTCTGGTAACTTTTCATTAGAATCAGGATTTACTGTACAAATCCTTTGTATTAGGTTTAATTTTTGCAATGTAGGTAAACCTAAAATAGCTGGAACAGTTTTATCACATGCTACGACTTGAAATTCTATTTCATCCTTGTCCCCTTTCGATGTTTCACATAATAATTTACATTTTCCAACTACATCAATTGTAGTACCATTGTAATTATTTAAAGTGACTTTTGATTTAGTCAAACATTTCTCTCTTAAATTTAATTGTTTAAATTTAGGCAATGGTAGCACATTACACTGAGCTCCAGTATCCAACTTAACAAATAAATATTTAGATATGTTTACTTTTAGTTTTTCAAACCATTCGGTTTTATTTTTAGAAAATGGATTTGTATCTTCTACTGACCCTAAAATATATTCATTACCATTATTATGTAACTCATGCTCTAAATTATTCTGTACAACATTAACATTTTTATAAAGTGCACATTTTAGAAAAGTTATTTTTCTTTTTACAGTACAAGCAAATCTTATTATAAGCAGAACAGTTGTATAACTTATGAAAAGTTCCACATTTTCTACATGGTTTTGGATTATTGTACTTATTTCCTTGATAGCTTGAAGAAGATTTAATACTTTGTTGCTTTTGTTTTACATGATAGTCTTTCTTACAAGGCTGACTTTTTTCCTCTGAAGGTCGAAATTTATTACGTTCTATTTTATTTTCTTCAGTTAAAGTTTTCAGCTGAAGTTCTGCTAATTCAGAAGCTTTACACATTTTAATACATTTCTCCAATGTTAACTGATCTTCCCTTAATAATCTATCTTTGAGATTTTTATTTAGAATTCCACTTACTATTCTATCCCTTATTAAACTATCTTTTAATTCTGCAAATCCACAGTTGCTACTTAATTTCTTTAAATCGGTTAAGAAATCATCAAACGATTCACCTACATGTTGTGTTCGACAGAAAAATATATGTCTATCAACACTTTCGTTTGCTTTCGGTATGCAAAAATTTTCGAAAGCTTCAATTACTTTGTCAACATCCTTCTTATCTTCTTCACTTAAATTAAAAGTATTAAATTTTTCAAGTGCTTCTTCACCAATAATATGCAATAAAATAGCTACTTTAATTTCAGGTGATTTAGTAATACCACCAGACGCTAACATATAAATTTGGAATTTTTGTTTCCATTTCTTCCAATTTTCGCTTAAATTTCCTTCGAAACTTAGATTACTTGGTGGCTTTAATCCATCCATATTTAATTTAGGACTTTAAATAGTTTATATACGTATTTTTTAGCCACTTCCAATAAAAATAAACAACTCACTTACCAGCGATATAAGTTTCGATTTCACAGTAAACAACTTCCCATGATGTTTTTGTTTAGAACATCTTTACCGAGACTGCATGGTTCTTCAAAAAAGATTTTCTTTTTTAATCAACGACGGGCTGCGCCATGTGTTGTATTTTATATGTGTTGGGTACGTGCTCAGTGATGATTACAAGATGTACACAAACATCGTTTATTCTACATTACTCATCTACTATTCTATATTACAGTTATGGTTAAAGATAATAATAGATACAGTTACAGTTACATATATAACATCACGTGCTATCAATCTTATTTAATTTTACTTTATTTTTACGCAAAATTAAGTTCGTAAATTTTGTGCTTAGAGTTTTTACCGTTTTACCAAAGTAAAGATGTTTGTACAAGAAGTACGCGTGAAAAAATTGCGCGAAATGCGGTAAAAAGGGCTTTAATATTAAATCCTATTTGAAAAAAACTGTGACTTTCATAATCTCATCACTATACAAAGTATCATATTTAATAATTAAAAACAGTTATGTAATACAAACATTATAGGTTTCAATGTTAAAGTAAACCAGATCGTCTCTACTCTTTCTGTGGGGCATGTCGGTGACGCGCGCTCCGCCCACTGGGTTAGTCTATCTCTTATAAGGTACATGATGTACACACATATACATATGCTACATGAACACCTACATCCGTACATACAAGCATATGCAAATGTATTTCTGAATTAATCTCCCGAACACACTCTTTACGTATAAAAAATGCTTCTGTATGCAATTTTATAGAAATATTTAGCTACGCATGACAGAAAAGTTACACAAGGTTTTAAGATGATTTTTCAATTCCGTTTCATAAGAATGTGATTTTACTCCTTGCATGCATGATATTTTTTAAATCTGTTGATAAGAATTTCAATAAATTCTGATTATTTGTGTAAACTCCGTATCTGTATAAAATGGTCAAACATTAGCAATTTAAAACAAGAATAATATTCAGATATATTTACTTTATTTTATATAAAGTTTTAGACATGTATCAAAGAATGATAGTAATTAGTCATCAAACGAAATAACAAATGACTTTTTCTTGATATTCTAGTACTACACGGAAAAGTAATTCACCCTTCCTATAATCAACACAAATGTAAACAAACATCTCTTCACGACTGGTCGGAATGCGCAGAAATCACGAAAATGTCTCTGCGCAACTAGTCGTACGTTTAGCATTTTTACCATGTTTGAGCTAACCGTCCGACGTCGTACGGGTAGAGACAGCCATAAACAACGGCCATTTCATTATCGATGACATACGTCTGCCTATCGATAATAAAAGGAAAGTTTGTGCCATCTGAAAAAGCAATATTACCAGTATGATCCTGGCAATTAAGGCGTACACATATTGGTACAACTCTGATATACTCCCTAATTTCCCCAAATATGGCGATATGTGTTCTGCGCTAGTTTTTGGAGCAATTGCGTATTGTATGGCAACCCTGTTGACGTTGAAAAGTCTTTCGTTGGTTCGCGTCATGCTCTGTGTCTGTGAAGCTAGGGGGGGAAGATAAAACAGTGGAACTTGTTGAATTGAAGTTCGGCAAAAGGAAATATCGTCGTGGCCATCCTGTTGAGGGGCAGTGTGTATTTGGAGACGTGGAAAGAGGGTCTGAGAGATTATTTTTAGTGGCTGTGTATGATAGAAGTAGGGATTTGTGATTATTTGTTATTTTATTTATTTGTGAACCATAGTATGAATTTTCTGGATAGTGTGTCTGGCTGTCATATAAATACGATAGTGATTACGTGGCGGCATGTTAAAGGCGGTACAAAATTAGTATTTCTGCCGTTTCAAAAAGCATTAATTCATGGTAAGTGCATGTTATTTTATTCTTGTTCTTATTTTGTAGAATGTTATGTTCATTGTTTTTTTAGTATGAATTTCTGTCGTTGTTGTTGTTTTTTTAATTGTTTGAAATTTATTTTAGTTATTTTAGTTTGTTTTGTTCGTTAGTGCGTAGTGCCTAGAATTGTGCAATTTCGTAGATGTTTTCTAAAGTTGAAACAGAAAACTGTGTACATGGTTTTCTTTGGAAATTTATTGTCGTTATGTTAATGTATTAAAGCGAGGTGTGTGTGCCTAGTTCGTAGATTCGTTTTGCTGCCTAGATTGTGCAATTTGTAGATTTTTTTAAGTTTAAACAGGATGCTGTGTACATGGTATTCTTTGAAATTTATTGTTTTTTTATGTTAATTTATTAAGCGAGGTGTGCCTAGTCGTAGATTCGTTCGTTGCCTAGATTGTGCATTCGTAGATTCGTACGTTGCCTAGATTGTGCCATTCGTAGATTTTTTTGTAAGTTAAAACATATCGCTGTGTACATGGACTCTTGTCAAATAATTTTGGTTAGAAATTTCCGGTTTTTGCTATCTAAATTTTTTTTTTTGTTTCGGATTTTTAGCTTAAATTATGTGTTCAAAGTGTGGTTTTTTGCACGTCGCGAAAAACCGGCGCTTTTGGAGGCATTTTAGGCTTGAATTTAGGCTAGGAAGTTCGAAATGTAGACAAACAATATTAGATAGTAATATGGCAGCCGTAGGAGTTTCTCACCAAACATGTTTTGGCGAGAAATTTGGTGACTTGAGGGCGCATATCAGAGTAGTTCCCACATATTTTTATGCAAATTATGTATTTCAAGAATAACGGTAAATTCAGCAAGTTTTGTATCATAGATTATTTTCTCCTCCACCATCTCGGTGTCCCGTTTTCGTCTGGTGAAAATACTGTCAGCCAAGTTTTAACATTAGCGGTTAATATTAATTTAATAAAATAAAATTGTTATGAAGAATGATCATTATTTTCAACCTATTTTTGAAGTATATTTTTCATAATTAGTTAGCAGATAGTTTTGCAAAGAAAATAATTTTTGGCCTCTACAATTTTGTTTTATAGAAAGCCAACTGCTAACAAGGTGATTGTGATACTACAACTTTCATCTGTCTTGCCGAACACGCAAGCAACCCTTTTACCTTTGGGACGAGTTGGTGTGAAGTCGTCCATTGTATTTCTAGTCTGAATTTTTCATTAATTTAATTACTTCTAAGCATCATAACGGCAAAAATATGAATCGTGGTCGATCATTTAATCGTGGAAAGTGAGTAATTTTATTTTTAATTGTATTATTTAAAGTTTTCCTTATAGTTCCTGCAATTTTTTTATGCTAGTTGTTACCTTTTATTTTTTGCGAAAAATTACTTTTGTATTATATTTAAGAATGGGAAAATATTAAAACGTCTACCGTTGTAATTTAATTTCCTTGTTGTTTTGTAGTATTTGTAAAGAATTTACGTTTAGTTTTACTGTATTTAGAAACATTTGTAGTTAAATAATATTTTGCCACGAGGCGTCCTTCTAGAAGCCGGCAACGCTGTTGTGTGCGTGTTCAAGTTCATTAAATGAACAATATTAACATTAAACATGTTAATTTAATTATATTTTTTAAAATTTTCTATCTATCTTTCTTTTTTTTTTAGGTATAATAAATGAATTTTTGTTCTAACCTTCGTATTTCTCAAAAATGTGTTTTTTAGATATATCAGGGCAAAAGCAGAAAACATGTGTTATAAATAATAAACGTGCTTTTTTATTTGTGAAATTTCTCGTTTAAAGTAAAGGTTTAAAGATAAACTTGAAACCAGGGAAATAACTATTAAATTTTAAAATTTATCTAGTCTTTTGTTAAGAAGAATTTACAGAACATGATGTCGATTTTATTAGTTCAAAAAATTGCTACAAGTATTTGCAGCTTAGAATTGTAAATTTAAATTCTCAAAGTCCTAAGGAATTATATGAGAATATGCAGCTTTTTAGTTATTTGGTATGTATGATCTATTTATAAGAATAAAAATTTTTTTGACACATTTCATAATTTGGAAACAGGAATGTATCCAAAGTTTTTAATTACAAATTCTTAGCTTTCTGAATATCAAAACTAGATGAAAGTTTGCTATATCTAATTGTAATCAATATGGTTCTAAAATGTTGCTGAAGAAAAAAGTTCAGATGCTTTTATGGTGTAGATTGACGTGATATATATTTTAGTTTATGCAAAATAAATTTTGAAAATATAAAAAGTAAAACACACTGTAAATTAAAGTACAGACAGGTCTAGAGGTAGTAAAAGAATGGTCAAAAGGAGTATCCTTGCTAAATAAAAAACTAGGAGGCCATATTTGGTCTGGCTAATTTTTGGAATAGTAAATTGCATTTATGATTGAAAGAATAAAATCCTTCCCGTTACTAATTCCAGTGTTCAGATTATTCATTTTTGAACAATTATAATGTTTCTGAATATTAGACATGGGGCAAAACCTCAGCTGAAAATGCATGTTGAGCTGAATTTAAAATTGCTGATTGACTGACTACCATATTATTAAAAAAAATTAATTTCTATGTACAGAAATGTTTGAACCCTGTGTGTATGCATGGTCGCATTTTGCGACAGCTTCCCCCACTGAAACTGAAATTTTAAGTTATAAATAAAATACAGTAATAAAAACATTGTTTTCAGATGCATGTTAAATTTATATTCATAAGCATTAACTGTGCATTTTTTTGTCTGTTTTCTATTGTCTTACATAACAGTAGGTATTTTAAAAAGTATAATAAACTTTTCATGTTTCATGACAAGTGAAAAATTATTGAAACTTGCAAACCAAACAAGATCAACATAATACTGCAATTCAGGCATTTGTACATTTGTCACCCAAAATCACAGATTAAATTTCTTCATCGTTAAATTTATTTAAAAAAATATAAAAATTACTTCTAAAATTTATTTACTGTGAAGGCTCTTATTTTCACGAGGCTTCGAGTTTCGCGAAAATTTAAGCCTGGCGAAGTACTTTTTTTTTCTGCCTTAAATAATAATAAAAAATCAGAAATTTTTCACTTACCTAAAATGTAAGGATTTATTGCACAGTTACAAGCTTTTTCTTGATAACTTTCTTTCTTACAACTATTTTTTTAATAATGTACAAGTATATTTCTCGAATATAAAACAATAAAATTAATAAAAGGCAGCTCATTACCTTAGAATATTATTTATACCAGCTTCTTTGAAGCCATTCAAAATTATCTCAAGTTTGGCTTCAATACCGTTAAATACGCGCACAAGCCAAGAAGCGTGAATCGATTTTAGTCGTGATATTCCCAAGTCCACAGATTCCTTTTCCTCTAGAAATTGAAGCTCATTAGAATACCACTCAATGAACTCCTGAGCAAACGCTTGAACTCGCCATTTACAGTTAAGTCCGAAGGTTAGAGCTCTTCTGGGCTAATCTTTGGAATATGATAACAGGTAGTTTGGCGACATGACTTCATAATAAGTCACGGTGGAAGAAGCGACATTGTGAAGCATGTTAAGTCTAAAAAGCTTCGACAACGTCTAACTAAGCATTCGAACAATGTCAAAGAAAGTGGATGATTTTTTTTCAAATTCTGCTACGAATTCGGGTGCCAATGTCATTTTGGCAGAGTGTTTGTTTACACAGTTTGAAGACTGCCAGTTTTGGAGAAGATAGACTTGATGTCCTTGTTGGTACTTTAAAAAGAATAAAAAGAGCTGATGGAACACCAAAATATGATAGACTAGCAAGTTTTATGTGCTATTCTCGTAATTCCACACAGTAATGCTGAGTGCGAGAGAGTCCTCAGTGTTGTGAAGAAAAACAAAACTATGTTTCCTTCTTCAATTTCACCAAAAACTCTAGAAAACATTTTAATTGCTAAATGTTATGAGGAAACTAATTGTTATGACAGGAAATTTTCCAAAGAATTTTTGGCTAAAGCCAAAAAATGCACTCTAAATTCATTGCAATAATATTTTTGTGTAACATTAAGTTCTTGTTTTATGTTTCCTAGTAAATTTTAGTTACACTTAATTGAGATTTACTAATGTAAGTACAATTTTCTTTTTTCTATTGATAAATGTTATTTTTTAATATCAAAGCATGATATTAATTCTTCTTGTTCGTCTGAATTTTGGAGAAATCTTCTGAATTTTTATCTTTAGAGGTTGGCAGGTATGATATAGTCAAGAGTGTGCGCAATGCCATTTTTGTGCAATTCTGGGATTTTTTTTAAGTGAAAATAGATCGACGTGTACATGGATGCTACTGTGTATGTGCAATTCGTAAAAACGTGGCTAGCAGTGGGCGATTCTGCACTTTGCCCCAATTTCGCACATAATCTTCGTCATGATTAAGCACTTTTGTTCCATAAATGTTCTAGCATAAGCGTAATTTGGCTAGCAGACTGTTGGAAAAAAATGTGGGAAATGTTGAGTAAAAAAAAAAAAAAAAAATGCCTTTACTTCATGAAAACAAAATGGCGTCCAAACAAAAACTAGCAGGGTTGGTCACCGAAAGATCGCCAAGTTACCATAATCCAAAGATTAAACCTTTCCTGTGCAGGAAGCGGGCACAAAAATTGGAATAATATATCATCTTCTTAAGTTCAGTCAGAAAAAGATCTTGGTGTGCCTTAAAAATGTCAAACAATGCTACACCAGGTTGTTCTGGAACTATCCCGAGAAGCTCTTTCCTTGTCGTAATAAGGTACAAGAATATTCTCGATGTATCGAATCATTGTGTCAGTATTACTCCAGTACGAATCGATGTGCCACATGTCCCAGTCCACGGGAAATGTAAACTTTGGAGGACAGTTTTTTTTCCAGCGAACAACAATTGTGGTGGAAGTAGGTTTCCAGCAAGGGAACATGCTAACAAAACAGTCATCTCTCTTTTATCTTCCGTGCTAATTATAGACACTTGTTTTGAACTACGTTCTTCCAATGTGTAATTAGATGTAGGTACAAACTTTGCATTTGTCTGATCCAGGCATGAAATTTCGCGGAATTCTGCTTTTTTGAACATCACATGGGCTGTTTCTGAAATCGATGTAGAACCTTTGAGAAATCGCGACTGGCAAATGTGTGTGTGTGTGTGTGTGGGGGGGGGTAAACGGAGGACACGCCCTCTCCCTCTTTTCTTTGTAAAAAAAACTTTACATCATGTCAGAGATCGTGAAATACGTTGTTTTACATCAAGGCGAAGTAGGTGGGGCTTATGTGGAAAGATGGAACTAGATGCGTACGAATATTGAATTAAAGAAGAGCAAGCAACCATCAAGCGAGAGTTTGACTTCAATAATTTCAGCGATCGGTGCTGGCGCTATCTGTCAGACATACGGATAACCACTTGCATTCTCCAGTACACAAAATTCTATGTAAAAATGTAAGGAATACTCATAAAACTGTACAAAGAAGAGCTAGAGATAGAAAAGGAGGAGCGAGGATCTAAGAAAAGCAATTAAACATTGCCGAAAATAAAGATGAAAATAAAAAAGTATCAATGGATTGTATAAAAGCTGCTGAAAAGAAATTAAAACTAGCTTTCAAACGGAAATTAGAAAAAAGTTGGCTGCAAAAGTAGCAAAAAAGAAAAAGCTTTTTCCCTAAAAAAATTTTAACAGTACATTAATTATGAAAGTTCTCCATCATGTCATGTATATTAAAAAGTGGTAGGTATCATTGACAAATATTTTTGTACAGCTCGGGTGCATATAAGTAGAGTTTGGTCATTCCAGCCTGTAAAATGTTTTATACATTGAAATATTTGATAGCATCACTGTTTATAGACTTTTGATGTATGAAAATGAAATTTTTAAAATTTTAGTCAGTAGCAAAATCATTGATGATACTTTAAAATTGTTTTCTAATTTGTGCCAATTTTATATGATTCAGTCACCAGCATGAGAGCTAGGACATGTGTTCAGATTTATTTACAAAGAGTAGGGAAAAGTTTAATCAATGAAGAATTCTGTCTTAAGCCTTCTGCAATGCAGTTTTCCTATTGTATACTCCTTCCAGACAAGTTGATGTGTTTTGGCTGACTTGGCTGAGATCAATCATTTTAAATAAAAATGAATATACAGGGTGATTCATGAAGAAGTTTACAGTTTCAGTGTACTGTAAATCAAGAACTATGTAAGCTATTATACATTACCCGTAACAGAATTGTATGGGATTATTTTTTGTTAGAGACAGTCCTGGATGTTCTGTGTGTCCTTAGTCACACATTGAGCCAGTAATCT